TTGAGAGTTGTTGTTCCTTGTCTAGAACAATAATACTGCCATAACTCATAGAATGACCTGTGGTGTTAGCATGTGACGCCAAAGCACATCTCTCTGGACGTAATCTGGCGTCACTTTTGTGTGAGGTTATCCTGCCTTTCAGTGATCTCGATGTTTGGCCTATGTAAACTAAATTGCAGTTGTTACAATTAATGCAATAGATAGTGTTGGTTGAATCAAGTAGCTGAACCCTTTCCTTCATTTTGGAAAACACACTGTTGACTGTGAGAACTGATTTACCAGCAAAACGACAATTTAAGGAATTATACATCCTGATCAATTTTGAAGTTCATTCTTTGATATATGGCAATACAACATAGTTAACTCTGGCATCAGAAGCATAATCCGTAGTGTTATCATTCTCATTAGTTAAAGAATTAATGGGCGTCGGGTTGGCTAGGACAGTGTTGTCATTGCCAACATTGTTGCCAATTTCAAATACGACGCACGAAGTCCACAACAAGAGCCAACCTACCCATTGTAGTATACGTATAATGGCCAGAAGACCTCGAGTTTTTAAGGCGACATCTAATCACAACCAGGCGGCCGGTTAAAGCCACTTGCCATGGCCAGGTAATATTGACAATCTCAAATTTAGAATGCAGGTGCAATTGCCTAAATGTAAAACTGCGATTGAGTAACAATGTTTTAATGTATGATAAACCATCGCATGGCATGGCTTTAATATGAACACTTGATGACCTCAAATAGGTAGATACTTTTTGTTCACTTTTTAGCGACCTAATACGGCCATTTTTTTAAACATTCATTTTACTTGAAAACTTTCAACTTCAAATAAAACTGTTCAAAGTGAGCAAAAAACACTTTTCGACAGGGTGACATATTGGTAATTATTTTGCAGTTCCTTGCAAAGATATTGCGAAAAATCTAATAACGCAAATGTTTAATAAGTTGCTTCTTTGACGTTTTAGCTGCCAGCCGCGGCAGTTCAAAAAGCAGCCAGTAGAGGCTTAACGTTAGGGTGGAGTGGTGGTGCCGTTTCATGTATTAGGCAGGAAAATATAAAGATAACATTGTCATTTATATCAATGACGAGGAAAAAGCAACAACGACCTGGTTTTTGCTACTTTTTGTATATGTTGTGCTCTTATCTACTTTTTACTTTAAAATAGGACGCTGGAGTAGGCACTACAGTACTAGTAATATCTGCAACTGACAACGATGTGGGCGAGAACGCTCAGGTCACATACTCTCTGGACTTCGGAGTGAATGAAGACACCGACCCGCCACCATTTGCAATAAACGCTCAAACCGGAGCTGTTATCACACTGAAACAGCTGGACAGAGAAGCGGCCGCTGGATATTTGCTCGCCGTAACTGCTAAAGATGGCGGGCAACCACCTCTTTCTGATACTACTGACGTGGAAATCTCCGTGGCAGATGTCAACGACAACTATCCGGTAATATATAGCCTTTTTCATCGAGTATTTATTTTTAAAATGGATCAAGTTATCAAGCCGGAACTCAGGGTGGAGGGATTGATGCATGATTGTTATGTTTTAGCGTAAAAGTAGCAGTTGAAAATTTCAAGATGATGTTAGGGTCCTCTTGAAGCATTTTACTAAACAGAAAGGGGGGTCATGTGAACTCTATTTTGAAGTTTATTATGAGTATGGCGGCATGATGGAAGAGAGCTTTGAGGAGCAAAACTTGTTGGTGCAGCTGTAGGCAACAGAGCTAGATCGCTAACGGCCCGCCGGCATGAAAGGGTCCCGAGACTGTCTGATAGGGAAGAGTCATCGATCAGTCGGACAGCTCTCCTCTGGACAGCATTAAGCATGGATAATGTAGTCGGGCGGCAGCACCCCAAACTTGTGAGCAATACTCAAGACTACTTCTTATCTGGGCCTTATATAGAGTGAGGAGGTCATGGGGAGAAACTTCTTAGCCCTAATAAAATAGCTTAGCTTTTTTCCAGCAGCTGCTGCTGTAAGGTGTGTTCGTGCCAGATCAAGTCCTCCATGATCTGGTCTCCAACCAGCCGAAATGGGCGACTCCTTGGCAGAACTCGGCCATCCATCGAAACCGGTTGAGCACTAGGAGGCTTTTTGTTCGTCAAGGTACAGTACTGTGTTTTGGAAGCATTACACTGTACAAAATTGTTACGTCCCCGAGCAGTGATAACCTCCAGGTCTCTTGTCAGAGAGGAAGTCGTCGCTGATCTTCTTTTTTCCAGCTCACCGGCAGAGCTGTGAATTGGATTGATTGCGCAGGAAAGGAGGTCGTTGATATGTAAGAGGAATAGTGTCGGAACCAATACAGATCACTGGGGAACGCCCGTTCTGACGTTGTGGGATGAAGAGAACCCAACAATGACGACGGACATCTTGCGGCCAGAGAGAAAGTCAGCCACCCATCTACAAAGCTTCTCTGGGAGGCCATAGGATGGAGGTTTGCGTAAGAGAACAGCGTGCCACAGCTAGGAGGTCCCCTGTGGATCGCTGGTGTCAGAAACCATACTACCTGTCGATAATCAAGCCGTGACGTTCCAGAAAACAGAGCTATAGGGCTGTAGTTGTCAGGGTCGGTCTTGGATCCCTTTTTTGGGATGGGTTGGACTTCAGAAGATTTACAGTTTTCTGGGAAGGTACAGGATTCGTCAGATATCTGGAAGAGATGCGAAAGAACTAGAGTAAGCTCCACGGCACACCTCTTCAATACACCGGCAGAAATCAATTCCGGACCAGAAGCTTTGTTTACGTCGAGCGACAAGAGCAAGCGTCTTACGGTCTTATGCCTGAATGTTACTTCCCACATAGTTTAGACAAGGACGTCCATGGTGGAGTTGGAACATCTTCCAGATAAATGCGTAGGTGCAGACAGGTCTACAGTGTGTCTGAAACGCAGTAAACCAGGGCTTAAGGCGAAAGACTGCAATAACCTAGCGTTCTATCCAATATGTAACGAGGCCATCAAAAAGGAAGACGATGTGGCGAATAAGATTCTTTACATAATGACAGGCCTAGAATTAACATTTCTACAAATTAATGTGGATAGAGGTAAGCAGACGCACGATCTCCTCGTACACATGGCAGGCGTAATACATGCAGATATAGTAGTGGTGGCGGAACCGAATAAGATACTCACAGATGGCCCTGGCTGGTATTCAGATACCAGAAAAGATGCTGCGATAAAAATTCTGAACCAACAAATCGTGATACATAGGCATGGTAGAGGGGATGGCTTTGTCTGGGTTGACATCGGTTCAATGACTGTTGCTATTGCTCACCTAATGCTGAAAGTTACCTTGTGTGGTGATTTCAACGCGAAGGCGCCGGAATGGAGTATGACGTATACTGACAGAAGATGAGATATTCTAACTGAATGGTTAGCTGGCCATAATGTAGTGGTGGTCAATGAGGGCGAAGCATCAACTTTTGCAGGCAACTCTGCATCTATCTTGAATCTGACTCTAGCTACTGAGGGAGTCTCTACTACCATACGAAACTGGAAATTATTAGACTTGGGAGTCTAAGTTATCATAGCTACATTGTGTTCAAGCTGGTTGTTGCGGGGGATAATGTGGACGCCGTACGGCAGATCAGACGAGGATGGAACCTGAGACATCTGAACGTCACTAGGTTTCGGAATGAGCTATATCTCCGTGCGAATGAGAACACTGGAACAACAGCAAAGGAGCTGATTCAGCTGTTAACCAAGGTTTGTGGCAGCACAATGCCAAGAAGACAGAGTCGTGGCCATAGAAGAAGTATCTACTGGTGGACGCAGGACAGCGCAAAAGCCAGAAAAGCATGCACTAAAGCCAAGAGAGCATCAACGATGAAGAACTAGACTGCGGAAATCAGAAATGAATTGAAATAGGGAAAACAGGGAGGCTAGGAAACGACTCAGAAGACTAATTCAGACATCTAAACGGAACTGTTGAAAGAGACTCTTAGCAAATGTAGACAGTGATTTATGGGGCAAAGTATACCAAATAGTGGTCAAGAGTCTCGATCTAGGCCCTTTGAATAGAATTCCATTCGATAAGAGGTTGGAAATCGTTGGGTCGCTTTTTCCACCAAATCCTCCACGGGAGGTTGATCGTGATTCAGATAGAGCCAGCATCCCATTCACAATGAAAGAGCTTCAGCTGCAACTAGATCGAAGGACCACAAAGTACCAGGCCTGATGGAATTTCGGCGGAAACCATTAAACTCGCCATGATAGAAGTACCTGGAATATTCTTGGAGGTGGCAAATCGAGCGCTGCGTGCGGAAGTATTTGCAGATTTCATAACAAATTCGCCCGACGACTCATCCTGCATGTACTGCGTAGCCATGGACGACGCCTTCCACAAATTCTTCAGGTGTCCCAGATGGGAAGTAAATAGATAAGCATGCATCTGGTACTTAGGCGCGGAAGTCCCCCTGGACAATATTGTCAACTTGACTGCTGTCACGAATATGGCAAGAGGCATACTATAGGCAGGAAAGTGATAGAGGTCAAGGATATGCGAAGCCTCGTACTAGATCGATACATGTCAGAGGACTAACAGAGAGGAACGAACAAATCAGTTCTAATAAATAGCAGGAGACGATCGACTCATTCAACATCCCCGAACTCATAAACGGTTGATCCGGGAAAGGAGACGTAACGCGAAAGAAGATGAAGAGAAGATATATCAATCAGCGACAGTTCCAACACGTCAGGAGGTTCTTAGACCCACTCGCTCCAGATTGCGGCCTGGCGACGGTCTTAAACTACTGGGGTGTAAAGCCCAGTTCGCGTCCGTGGCCGTTACGTAAATAGCTGATCGAAGCATGCTGCATGTGCACCCCGGCTGGTATTAAAGAGCTGGGGGGCCTGGGTGTCAAGATCGGGTAGCCAACCCCGGTGGGGAGAACCGACCCCAGGGTATTTTGGATAGTGTCTGATCCGGAGCGGGCGACTGTGAGGGGGTAGACTGGACTCCTGAAGCCGTGGTAAAAGGAGCCGGTCTATGTGTACTGATCCGAGGAATTCAGAAGACCACCTGGCTGTGGATCATGGAATGAATTAGGAATAACGGATGGACACTGAAAAACTAATGGCGAACAATGCAACCGAAGTACCACAGGAGGCTCGTAGGACCATAGGTCCAGAATCTCCCCCTTTATGGACTGCACCGCAGATTCTTGGGGGAAGGGCAAATATTCGCTGACTGCTTTTGTGGAAGATTGTTCGGTGGGCAACCAGGCCGTTGTTGTTAATGGAAAAAAAGAGCGTCTCGGCGGAAAAGAGGTCACAAATCCTTCCATAAGGAAATACCTTATATAAAGAAGTCCACCAAGAGGAAGATTAAACTCGGTGTCGGAGGTGGACCTTGAACGAGATGAGGAAACACAAAAAAATCCTGCCAAACGTGAGACGAGGGAGCAGACGATTTCCGTTGCAAAAAACAGTGAATATTCACGAATAATTAAAAAACTGCTTAAGAAGGTCGATGACCTCAAAGCTGTGCTAAAGGTGCAAGTAAACGCAAAAACTTCAATAAAGCAGGGAGTTGAAGACATAGGCAGGCTCGTTGATAAACTTATGCCGGTTTCATCAAGGTCCCATCTGACACTTCAGAGCAGGAAACGCAAACATTGGAGGAGAAATCCGACCACGCAAACGGAGGATGCATGGCATTTTAAAAAGAGATCTGAGAAAGAACTACCGTCCCAAATATGCTTTTCAGAGATCCCGGAAAAGAAATGGCCTGCATCAACTTACAGGAAGACCAAGGAATTGATAGAAAACCATCCGTGGGAAAATACGCGCTGCAGTGATCTGGTGCTCTGCGCAAAGACTGGACAGAGCTACGACAGAGGTATCGGTCGATATTTTAAAGTTAGATACCCAGAAATAGAATCTCTGGGCATGGAAGGGGGCGAGGCAACAGAATATTCCTACCTCAAACACGAAACCTACGTAACAAAGAGAGAGTAGACGAGACCAAAAAATCTACGTCTATAATGATGAGCGAACCACCAGCAACACCATTGGCATGAGGGAACTGGCTAAAAAGGTGCGGCACACAGCTGTTGCAACACGCACTCCCGACCTCGCTAGAAAGGAGAGGATTAAAAAGCTCATTGAATTCGTCTTCGCAGGGACAGACATACAGGTTAGGCTCTACGTTCCTACCAAAGACCAAGCCGATGAAAAAATAATAAAGAAACTACTTCACCCCCTTTCACGACGGCCCCTCAGAGTCATTCCCCTAAAAATTTTAAATGACAAGGGGTATCGAGTAATAGCTTGTTTGAACGGTTTTTCGAACTCCTTTATTTTGACGTTTGATTTTTTTAAATCAGTCGATTCGTTTTCGAGAAAATTAGAAAAATCCTTATTTACCATAATTTGTTCAGATGGAAAACAAAAACACACGAAATATCACTTTTTATTTTAATAAGTGTTCAAAATGTTGCCCGTTAGGGTGTGCCAAATCGTTTATAATTTAAAACGGAAACTAACCCATAAGTATTTTTTTGGACCTTGTTACTAAATTTACTCAAACTGGATCTGTTGCAAATAAAAAAACGTGATCATCAGAGAGTTTTGAATAAAGCCGCTCAAAATGAAATTTTGGGTCATTTTGGAATAAATCCTAACACTTCAATACGCAAAATTGTTGCTGCGACTGGTATTTCATTAGGCTCTGTACGCACAGTTACTAAACTCCATAAATTTCATCCACTCCAAATGAAAATATTGCGAGAGTTGACTGCATGCGATTAATGTTAATACCATTCATGTAAAGAATATCTGCTTCGGTGATGAATTCACACTTTATCTAAATAGTTGTTAATAAGCATAACTGCAGGTATTCGAGCAATGAAAATCCTCATGCTTTTGTAGAAGGGCATACCCAGTACCCAGTATGGGTAGGCATTTTAGGAAACCAAGTGATTGGGTTTATTAATGGAAATTTGAACGGAGACATTTATTTGGCTATGTTGGAAAATACCATCAATCCGCTTATCACTGAAACAATTGAAAACCAAATCGAAGAGGATGGAAACTCTATACTTGATGAGACTGAAATATATTTCCAGCAAGCCGGCGCTCCTCCTCACTATGTTCTTCCGGTTCGGCAATGGTTAGGCGACGAGTTTCCAGATAAATGGATAGGGGAGGCCTATGGAATGGCCTGCTAGATCTCCTGATTTGAAACCATAGACGTAGTCTTACCACCCGGCGGATCTCGTAGGCGGGGCCAGAATGTGTGCATGTTGCATGCACACGTGTTTCCTCGCCAGAGTCCGTGTGGCGTTCCCCGTTTCCCCTGTAATCCCCCTATAGCCCCACGGTACCCCATGGGTGTTTAGGCCTTAGGCCTTCGTGGTAGTTGGAATATAAAAAAAAGACTTTTTTCTATAGGGCCATTTGAAATCTATTGTTTACTCCCCAACCTGAAAGTTTGGATGAACTTCGTCAACGCTTCATCGAAAGCTGCCATGATATCCCACAACATGTTTTTGAAAATGTTCGTTAGGAATTTGAACATCGCCTATATCATTGCTTGGCTACTACTGCTACTACTACTACTTTAGCAACCAGGCAGGAGTAGAAGAAGATATATCTGGAATGGAAATGGATGAGATGGTGAGATTCAATCCTTTCACAAGAAGGGATTCATTGAAATGAACGCCTCCGAGAAACAGGCATCACTCATGGACGGGGGATGACTATATCTTCGCGGTTAGTCAACCAACGAAGAGAACGCGGGAGGAAACCCCTCTAAAGTAAATTCTGAAGACAGATAACGTGCATCAAGGAAAGCTGGTGGGAGAAATGAGAGGGCTGCTAGAAAAGTTGTCACGTTCCGGCAAGAAATTACTGACATAGTGCTAGAAAACACCAAGGCTGAGATTAAAAGGGAGTCAATTCGATGAGATGTATTGCGGATGTGGTGTTCAAGAAGCTACGAGAGTTTGAAGAACTCGGCCTAGAGGATATTGGGTGCCAGACTTCCGAAGCGTGTACGCAGGTCGAACCAACCATGGGTAGGGAGGCATGTTATAGCACCAAGGAGGTAGGGATACAAGTAAATATGGACCAGCAGGGATTGGAAATCGTCAGGAAAATAGAAAATGGGAGTACCTTCGAAGACTTCGCCACCCTTTTGGACGCCCAATGGCCTGAATGTGTTTTTAAAGTTTAGGGGTGCGTAGGGCCAAATTCGCTTAAAGCAGGTGATGACTGGGATGTATCCCTAGATGTATACCAATCCGGTAGCAAAAGGTGCGCTTAAGACTGTCATGGACCGTTATCCAGAAATCTCCTACTTGATGGTCAAATGGTAGAAGGAAAAACAGAATATATAGAAATGGCGACTAAGACATCTACGAGACGTGGGATACGGAATGATAAATCTAGATTTATCTTCGTATTGCCTTTTAAAGTAGACCCCAACGGAGTGAATGATATGCGAGACCTACATTAAGCCTTTTGCAACCTGAGGGATGAATCCAAGAGACACAACCAACACAAGGTGGTAGTAACTACCCCAGAAGAGCTTGTTAAAGACTACAGCAGAAAGCTCCTGAAGTGTATTTTCAGGAACAGCGGGAAACAGATAAAGGACTCCATACCAGGTAAAGTTTGAACGGCAACAAATATACCATTAAGGAAGCCACCAGACCGACAAAAAAATCGAGCGCGACAGGAGACGGTGGTGGGTAAAGGGCAAGGGATTACCTTCGCAGAGTTAGTTAAAACCGTTAAAGAGAACGTCGATATCAAGAAGATAGGTGTGAATGTCACAAGCATGAGGAAACAGGAAAACGGTGAGTTGGTTCTTATGGTGGAAGGGAAAAGAAAGGCAACGGCCTTGAGAAATAAGATAGTGGCGAATGTTAATGAGGTAAATGCACGTACAAGGAATTCAGACGTCACTCTGTTTATACTTGGCATCGATCCATCGGTAACAGTAGAGGAGGTCTCGCAAGCTATCATATCCTAAACTGGCACCGAGAACCATCGCTTTCGGATAGCAGCACTGACAGCTAGGAAATTTGGAAATCAGTCAGCGACCGTGGTAATGGATAAGGAACCTGCGAAGCGGCTTATCCAAAAGGGACTTATAGCGACCAATTGGTCTATTTGGCAGGTGAAGAAGCTGGTTTCGATCTTGCGCTGCTTCAACTGTCTAAAGTTTGGCCATAGAGCTGGAAGGTGTACCGTAGCGGACAGAAGAGAAGATTGCAGGAACTGCGGCCAGGCAGGACATCAACGGAAAGAGTGCAAGAACGTCTCATTTTGCACAACCTGCAAGACAGCTGGATATCGAGCACACCAAATTAGGTGTCCTGGTTTTAGGAAACTGGTGAACCAGGCAAGGATATCAAGCCAAGCTCATTGAAGTCATCTCGCCTGCAGGAGATAGAACGACCGCGCAACAACCAGCACACCCCATGACCTGCATCCTCCAATGTAATTTGAACAGGTCCAAGTTGGCTCAACATGTGCTCCAACAAACGACGCAGGAATACGGGGTGGACATTGTCATACTTTCTGAACAGTACAGAAATGAAAAATACTCCAACTGATACACGGACATAAGTGGAACTGCTGCAATTTGGGTTAGGAACTACTGCAGCTTTCCAGTATCTGAATATGGCTCTGAAAATGGATTCGTTTGGTTAAAGACTAGAACGAGGACCTACATAAGCGCTTACTTGTCTCCGAACGACAAAGTTGATATATTTCGGGCGAAGTTGGATTAACTGGAAGAGACTTTGCAAAACTTGGGCAGCAATGTGGTCTTAGCTGCCGATTTCAACGCAAAATCGATCGCATGGGGCATGGATTGGACCTGTTCGAGAGTGGCAGCGATCATTGATCTAGGATCAAGTCTCGATCTAACTATTCTGAACACTGGCAATACAACCACCTTCAGAAGAAGTGGTCAGAAAGGGTCAATTATTGATATCTCTGGGCAGTTCTGGAATGTTACACTGGAAGCGACCATCAATACACTAGATTCAGTATCCAGCTAGATGGTGGAAGAAAGGACAAACCTACTCGAACTAGTCTTGGGAGATGAAATATTTCCCGTCTGAACCAGAACGTCCTGTGCAGACAACTTACCAATATTGAAGTCATTGGTACTCAAAATGGAGAAATATCTACGGCAGATCACAAACTGCTGCGATGCCGTCATGCCTAGAAGATCTGCAAAATGTTACAGGAGACAAGTTTATTGGTGGAATGACGAGATTGCAGAACTCTGCAACTACGTCGCATAGCACAGAGGGCTGGGAGAAGGTACCAACGAGATGTAGCCATGGAGCAGCAATTTAAGGAAGTTAAATGGCAACTGAGAATGGCGATTG